GATCATCTCGATTGAAGTGACCATGGGTTGGACATGGGGATGAGGTGACCACTAGCAGTGGACCTGAACGAAATGTTTTTCGGCTTATTTGAGTGCAGAGGCTGCGAGTGTAGATTCTCCTTCTCAGCGACAGTGAGGGGCATTTACAAACTAGGGTTACACAATTCATTTAAAGTGGGCATGAACCAGCAATACAAAACACCTCCAAATGATGAAAAGACACTATCTGGACTTTTCAAGGAATTGGTTTTAAAAAATAATTCCCAGTTGATTGCAGTATTAAGAACATTCTTAAAAGGTTACCTTTGTCCTGATCTCTAAATCCCCATGAGAGGGTTTCTGTAAATGTTCTTTAAGCTTTTGAAGCTACTAATACTATAAGTGGGGAAAGAACATACTCTTTTAATTGAAATAGCAGATTGTTATGTTCATGATAATCTGAACTGAGAACACCATTTCACCTAGAAATATAAGAGAATAAATATTTTGAGGTCTTTGTATCCCAGGTTTAGGATTATTTAGGATTAGCAGCTAACATTGCTCCTATTTGTACACTGCATAATCAGGGAGACTGTTGAGAGGGGAATGTGAGCAGGAAGATATCTGCTTTAGTTTTCCAATTACTTCAGCTCAGTTGGGGACCATCTAAATGCCATTCGTCTCTGGCCCTTGAACTGTTTCTCCCTTGCTCTTGGGTAACACAGCTAATGACCTTCATGAAGCAGCAAATTAGCAGCATGTGTCAAGGCTGACACTTCTGTTTTTCAATCTAGTTGTTTGTTTCACTATCTAAAGCTGCCTTTTCCGGGGGTAGCTGAACTTGGCAGAATGATAAACTGTGCTTCTGTTTACTCATTTGTTCCCAAGGCTTATTTAAAAATGCTGTTGGTGGGTAAGTGGTGATGGCAATGGAAATATCTTAAACTATTGACTTGAGAACTGGAACATCAACATGGGCACAACAGACGAATTCCCTAGCTGATGGAAATGAGTCAGTGTACCATTTTTTAACCTGAGAGTGCTGTGTGAAGTTTCTTTTGGTCTCCATAAATCAGGGGCTGGGGGATATATTATTGGACCAAAAAATTCACTTTAGTTTGAGATTCTTTTTTTTTTTTTGAGCTGGAGTCTCACTCTGTCGCCCAGACTGGAGTGCAGTGGCCGCTTCCAGCCACCGCAGCCTCGACCTGCTGGGCTCCGGCAATCCTTCCGCCTCAGCCTTCCAAGTAGCTGGAATTACAGGCATCGCTACCACGCCTGGCTGATTTTTTGATTTTATTGTAGAGATAAGGTCTTGCTGCCCAGGCAGGTCTCGAACCCACGGGCTCAGGCAATCCACTCACCTCAGCCTCCCAAAGGCGCGGGATTACAGGCTGAGCCACCGAGCCCGGCTGCTAATGATTATTAACAGCTAACATTTATTGCACATTTGCTATTTGGCAGGAATTATGGGAATCCTCAAAGCATCTTTAAGAAATAAGAACCATTATTATTTTCATATCTGACAAGAACAAGAAAGAGGATAAATACTGGCTCATTGTCCCAAAGATAAGAAGTGGTCATGCCAGGACTGCAAAGCCTTCAGCTGGCCACTATTCCCCATATAAGAAGGGTGGCCATGGAGAGTTTTGTTACCTTGAGGAAGAACTGTCTGAATATGGGATCCCAAGGTGAATTCTAAGACCTGTGGAATTCTACTTTCTATTCCTCCTCTTTTCCATGTCTCCTCATCTATATCCAAGCCAAAAGCCATGAAGAGGCAAAGCTGACACAACACACAGGGTCGTGAAGCTAATAGATCCTTTGCAAACCAGTGATGGGCTTGGTTTCATACTCAGCTGTGAACTTGTCAGTTGAGCACACAATTGTGAATGTAATATTCCATATGCATGTCATCAAGAAAACTTCAAACATTCTAAAGTTATTTCATTAGAAGACAGGAATAAAAAGCCTTAAATACCAACCAACTCTATTAAGATAACTGAAGAACACAAATATAGTATCCTAACCTTATTATGCTATTTTCATTAGGTCATCCTGCAAACATCCACTCTCCACAAATTTAAATAGAAGTATTTTTGCTATCAATACTAAAACCCCTTAAATCTAAGATATTAGGATAAAAACTGTTGTTCTATGTACAGCTAAAAAGTTGTATGATTCAGATTATAGAAATCATGACAATTAGCTCTTTTAATTAAAATACTAGTGTGTTGTCTATCAACTGATGAATAGATAAAGTGTGGTATAACCCTACAGTGGAATATTATTATTCAGCAATAAAAAGGAATGAAGTACTGATACATACTAAAACATGGATACATTAAAAAAAAATTTTTTTTGAGGAGCAGTCTTACTCTGTTGCCCAGGCTGGAGTGCAGTGGCATACTTATGGCCACTGTAGCCTCAACCTACAGGGCTCAGGCAATCCTTGCACCTCAGCCTTCCAAGTAGCTGGAACTACAGGCATGTGCCACCATGCCTGGCTAATTTTTTGATTTATGTAGAGATGAGGTCTCGTCAAGTTGAGTGGGCTGGTTTTGAACCCGTGGGCTCAGGCAATCCTCTTACATCGACCTCCCAAAGTGCTGGGATTACAGGCGTGAGCCACAGCACCCGGCCGGATACACTTAAAAAACATTGTCCTAAGTTAAAGAAGTCAGACACAAACAACCACATATAATATTCCATTTATGTGAAACGTCCAGAAAGGTCAATCTACAGAGATAGAAAGTAGATTAGTAGTGGCCAGGGAGCTGGGGGTTGGGGAGAATAGGGAATAGAGAACAATTGCTAATGTACATTGTGATGAAATGCTCTAAAATTAGATTATGGTGATGGTTACATAGCTCTGTAAATACAGCTGGTCTCTGACTTATGATGTTTCTATGACTTTTTGTCTTTAGAGGGTGTGAAAGAGTAAGGCATTCAGCATGCTCCTTGATGGGGTTAGGCCAGATAAACCCATTGCAAATTGAAACTATCATAAATCAAAAATGTACTTTTGATTTAAACAATATTTTCAACTTACAGTGAGTTCGTTGGGATATAACCCCATTGTAAGTCAAAGAGCATCTGTATGTTAACATCCACTGAAATGTATACAGTTGTCCTTTGGTATCCAGCAGGGATTGGTTCCAGGACCCCTGTGAATATCAAAATCCACAGGTTTTCAAGTTCCTGATATAAAATGTCTTAATATTTGCATATGTCTATTCATATTTTCCTGTATACTTTAATCTCTAGATTACTTATAAATATTATACAACTACATTTAAAAAATTTTTTGTTGTACTATTTTTGTCATTTTTTTCTGAATATTTTCTATCAATTGGTTGAATTCACAGATGTGAAACCTGAGGATACAGAGGGCCTACTATACTTTAAACAGGTGAACTTTATGAAATGTAATGTATATCACAATAAAGCTACTTAAAAAGATACAAGCCTATTTTCCCCCTAATTATTTGCATAAATGATAATAAATATTCTTTCATGTTCAGCTTCTTTTATTGAATGAACAGCGATGAACAAAAAGGTATTTTATACACCCTCCACAGAGGCTTGATAATCCTGTTCTCACAGCCTCACATTTTAACCTGCCTGTCAAGTATTTGTCTGCTGGGAAGTTGGAATAAGCACAACTTTCAGCCCAAACCTCCAAATCTACCTGATTTCTGTCCCTTTCCCTGTATTTTCTTCCTTTCCTTTCAAAATCTTACTACTGAAGAGCCAGTCATGTTCCAAATTTGAGCTCAATTAACCAAGAGAAGGGCCCTCTATCTTTGTGGCTCCCCATTGCAAAGGGAACCAGAGCCATTTTTTAAATAAATCAAAATCAGAAACAGGTGGGGGAAAAAAGAGACGGTGTTGCATTCTTTCCTTTGTGGATGCTGGTGGTGGTAATGAAGGCAGCTTTTGTTTCAGTAAGTGTGTATCACAACAGGCATTAGATATGAATCAGGATGCCAATTGAGAGAACTAAGAAAAATTATGATTGGCATATAGACACCAAGAGAAAAAACCTTCCTAGTGTTCTCAGTTTGCTCAGTTTACTGTAAAATCAACTAAGGTAATGGCAAATCGCATCCTTTGGCTTGAAATCTCAATGCAGTTTCTAATTTTGAGAGAGTCTTGCTCTCCTCTCAGCTTTGCCGCATCCGTGAGTTAGCTGCCAGATGAACCACTGTGGAGTTGTGCAACTCTGACAGCCCCCTCACTCTACATTTCTCTGGCCCAGCAAAGTTAGGCAAAATTTACACAAAGTTCAAGGGATTAGGCGCGGCAAATGTGGGATTGAGGTTTGACTGGTCTCAAGAAAAAATATGGCCCTGAAATCTGGAAAAATCCCAGTAGCTTGGCCAACTCTACTTCTCTATCAGTCACAGACATCATCACATCCTATCATTATAATCCTAATCATTGTGATCAACTCTTTTTCAAAAAATTATTTGATACCTATTTCCCCTTCCTCCCATTTTCTTTTTTTCCCTCTACTGTCCATCCTCTAATAGTTAAGAGTAATTTAACTCCTTCCCATTTTCCCTTAAAGTGCCAAGCTGTGGGGGTGGGAGCAGACACATAAATGATAACAGGGTGTGGATTCTGCAGACGCATTTTTTCTGCTACCCCCGAGGACCTGGTCCTCATCCAGAGAAAGAGAAGTGTGCTTGCGGCATAAGGAAATCTGCCCAGAATCCAGGGAGCCCAGTGACTTACCCTGGGCATGTCGCAACCCAATCAAAGTTTGGATGCTTGCTTCAGAATGCAGAAGGCGAAGGCACAGAGCTTGCCAGATTTACCAAGGGTGCCTGCTAGGCTTTGTTCCTGGCTCTGAATATCCTCAATGACCAGTCTGTGCAGCTCTCATGAGTACCAACCTGTTTGCCGATTACCTCTTGGCAAACTGACTCTTTAGGCAGATTATTATTTGTCTTGGGATATGCAAGGTTCTCACCATCCCTCCCTCCTCTACTACAAAAAAATGATGATTGGATAACTTGCTTTGAAGGTGGTTGGATTTGTTTGGTGTGGCTTGATTTGGTTTACAGCTTACCTTCGACAGAATAAAAAAATGGCTTGATTAAAAGCAGCTGTGGTTTCCGCAAAGCAGAAGGAATGAGCCAGACAGAGGGGTGAGAGTTCGGAGGGGTGGGGCAACTGTAGCAAGGGCAAGCTACAGGAGTGACTCATGAATCCCTTTTCACTTGGAGCTGGAGTCTAGGTTGCCGTCACTGTTGGCAGCTCACTTGGAGCTGGAGTCTACGTTGCCGTCACTGTGTTGGCAGCATCTACCCATTTGAGTTCTATGAACATGTCACACAGGACGGGACATGTGTTTCTGAAGGGACTGGCAAAGCCCACAGAGGGTGGGTTGTTCTTTCAATTCTTCTTGGCAAAAATCAGTTTTCAGACAGGAAGTGAATTTTTAGATCTAAAATGGTGTAAGCTTAGGAACCTAGCCACAACAGAGGACAAAAATGGAAAACTTCTCATTTGTTTGGATGTCATTTTCAGGTGTCATTTTTTTGGGTGGTGTTATGGGTTTAATTGCGTTCCCCACAAGATTTGTTGAAGTCTTTTGATTCCTCAGAAAGTGACCTTATTTGCTAGCAGGATTATTGCAAATGCAACTAGTTAAGATGAAGTCATACTGGAGTAGGCTGGGATTTAATCCAATATGACTGGTATTTTTACTGTATAGAAGAGACACACAAGGAGAACGCTATGAGATGATTGAGGCAGAGATTGGAGTGATGCAACCACAAGCCAAGGATTGCTGGGGCTATCACCAGAAGCTAGGATGAGGCAAAGCTTGATATTCTACCCAGTGTCTCAGAGGAAACATGGCCCTGTTGAAACCTTGATTACAAACTTCTAGCCTGTAGAACTGTGAGAATAAAAAAAAATTCCGTTGTTTTAAGCTAACTAGTTGTGGTACTTTGTTATGGCAGCCTTAAGAAACGAATACAGATGATTTACAGCTGAGTGGACTGGATATGCTTATAAATACCTTTCCCGTAACTTCTTATATGAACTAATTTAAAATTTAATAGTGTTTTTTTTTGAGTTGGAGTCTCACTATGTCATGAGATTGCAGCAATTCAGTCACATTTTCAGACTCCATTTCTTTTTTTCTTTTTCTTTTTTTTTGAGTTGGAGTCTCACTCAGTCACCCAGACTGGAGTGCAGTGGCTGCTCCCGGCCACCGCAGCCTCGACCTGCTGGGCTCTGGCGATCCTTCCGCCTCAGCCTTCCAAGTAGCCGGAATTACAGGCATGCGCTACCACGCCCGGCTGGTTTTTGATTTATTGTAGAGAGGAGGTCTCGCTGCCCAGGCGGGTCTCGAACCCACGGGCTCAGGCGATCCACTCACCTCAGCCTCCCAAAGGCACGGGATTACAGGCTGAGCCACCGAGCCCGGCAGCAGACTCCATTTCTAATTCTAGTTATCTTGCTATTTCCTTCATATCTGCAGTCGTAACTTTCAGTGAAGTCTTAAAATCCCTCAAAGTCATCCCCAAAGGCTGGAATCAACTTCTTCTAAACTCCTATTAGTGTTGATATTTTTAGCTCCTCCTATGAATCACAAACATTCTTAATGGAATCTGGAATGATGAATCCTTTCCAGAAGGTTTTCAATTTACTTTGCCCAGATCTATCAGAGGAGTCACTATCTATGGCAGCTATAGTCTTATGAAATGTATTTCTCACTGCCAAGGGAGGCAGGGGTACACCTCATCAATAAGGGTACCTGCATAATGATCATTTGTATACCTAACCCTGAACTGTACCCTACACATTTAACATAAAATAAAAATTTTTAAGGTATTTCTCAACAGGACTTGAAAGTTGAAATTACTCCTTGATCCATGAGTTACAAAATGAATGTATAACATTCAGCTCTTTGTACATCTTTTTTTTTTTTTTGAGTTGGAGTCTCACTCTGTGGCCCAGACTGGACTGCAGTGGCCGCTCCCGGCCACCGCAGCCTCGACCTGCTGGGCTCCAGTGATCCTTCCACCTCAGCCTTCCAAGTAGCTGGAACTACAGGCGTGCGCTACCACGTTCGGCTAATTTTTTTTATTTATTGTAGAGATGAAGTCTCACCAAGTTGCCCAGGCAGGTCTTGAACCTGCGGGCTCAGGCAATCCACTCACCTCAGCCTCCCAAGGCACGGGATTACAGGCTGAGCCACTGAGCCCAGCTAATAGTGTTCTTCATCAGTGAAAATATTCAGAATATACTGGATCAGGTTAGCCTGGCTAATATGGACACAGCACACATCCTATGCTAATGTAGCATCTATACTCCTCCAGTGAGAACATTACTGATGTCCTACTGTAAAAGCCAGTGGTGGTGTCCTGAGATCAATGCTATGATGTCTTGTTAATTTATATTTAAAGGAGATCTCTAACCATTGGAAATAGCTTTGAGAATGATTCAGGAGATGCTGGGTAGACACAAAACCCCCGTAGGACAAATAGTGCCAGAAGAGGAAGGAGGAGTGGAGTGAGGAAGGCATAGCACCTCATCTTCCATCTTCATTCTGTCTTTGATGTTGCTATTAGCATGTATCCCCAGAAAATTCACTGAAATCTCTCATAGTTTCCATTTTACTCAAGAGAAATCGATTTCAGTTTACCAACCTATCTATATAATGTGGAGGAGGAAAAAAGAAATAAAATCAATCACCATGTCCAAGATCTTCAGGAAAAGTTTTGTGTGGCCTCTAAAGCTTCTAGACTCTTGGTTCTGTGGCCAGAACATCCAAGACCACCAGCATCTGCATACTCCAGATCCTGATTCCTCCTTCTAGAACATAGATTCCATATACGGAAATGTCGCTAGCTCAAACAGTCTTGTGAGATCTAGATATGTATTATTTTATAAAAATCAAATCTCAGACATCATGTTATTTTTACCCTTACCTATTTCAGTATGCATCTCTAATAATTAGGACCATATTCTTCATTCTATAGATTATTTTAATATCCAACAGAATTCCTTGGTATCATCTAATATGGGGATCCAGTTATATTTTTTGCAACTCAAAATAGGGAACAAAGAAATCCGTGAATTACTCTAAATTGTTGAGGCTGAAGGGACCTCAGATAAACAACTTCTATTGTTATATAAACTGTTCAAGGCAGAAGACTACAGGTCTTATTTTTAAATATTATAGAGCATTAGCTCAACTTCTCATTTGACAAATGGGGACACTGAGGTCCTGTGATGGTTAATTTTATGTGCTAACTTGACTGTGCTAAGGAGTGCCCAGAAGCTGGTGATACATTATTTCTGGTGTGTCTCTGAGGGTATTTCTGGTAGAGATTAGTATCTGAGTCAGTAGATTGTGTAAAAAAGGTCCACCCTCACCCATGTGGGTGGGCATCATTCAATCCGTTGAGGTTCTGAATAGAACAAAAACATGGAGGAAGGAGGAATTCTTTTTCTCCTTGAGCTGGGACGTTCAGCTTATTTTGCCCTTAGACATCAGAGCTCCTGGTTTTCAGATATTCAGACTCTCAGACTCATATCAGGCTCTGATCTGGCCCTGAAGCATTTGGCCTGAGTGGGACTTATACCATCAGCTCTCCTGGTTCTCAGGCCTTCCAAATCAGACTGAATTATACCTCTGACTTTCCTGGGACTCTAGCTTACAGACGGCATATTGTAGAACTCTTGGCCTCCATAATCACATGAACCAATTCCCATAATAAATTATCTATCTATCTATCTATCTATCTATCTATCTATCTGTCTCCTACTGGTTCTGCTTCTCTGGAGAATCTTGAATAACACAGGCCCTGAAAAGCCATATAACGTGTACAGTTATGGTAAGTTGGAGGTCCTGGTAGGATTGTAACCCACTCATTTTTCTGACTCCCATTCCACAACAGACTGTTCATTTAGGAATGGAGTTGCCAAAGGTTTTTTAGTAGCCAGATCTATTACTTATTTCTAAAGCTATTGTCTCTGGATCACTATACTCCCAATTAATTGTACTTTAATCCTATTTTTTTTGTGGAAATAGAGACCAAATAACTTAAATTTTTTTCTACCAATCTGCCATGGGTTTGGATATCATCATTAAGTTGTATGTTAGGACCTTTTCTATCAGATTGATCAGGCTTAAATCTGATCCTTTTCTTGCAAGATATGTTTTATATCCTTAAATGCTGTGGACAAACAAATGAGGAATTGATAGGTTACCAAATGACACAGTTGCTGGGAGCAAAAAAAGGTCACGTTCTCATTTTTGCCAAGTGGTCACGAGAACATGCCAGCAAAATAGATTACACTCAGAACCAGAAACTATTGAGCTACTATAGCCTAATCTTTTCAACCATGTTTATAAAGAACAAACAACAAAACCCTTTATATATGAAGATGAAAAAGAAATCAGGAAACTGAGAGTTGGAAATGGGTGACCTCTTGAAATATGTACTGAGCCGCTGGGATGTTGCTTGAGGGGTGCGATGGCTACTTTGTCCTTGGGTTATCACACAAAGGCTTAGTGTCAGGAAGACAATATTGCTTTCTTTTCCCTCAGGTGAACAGGGGGGTAATGAAGGCAGAAAATCTTCAAGGTCCAAAGTTGTGTTTGAGTAAATTAAAACACCAAGTTACAGAGTTGAAGATTAAACTAACAATCACAAATCAGTGGATAAGTCCATTGCTTTGACGACAGTATGCCACAACGCTGGTCTGCCTGCTGTTTTGACTGAAGCAGGAACTACTCAGCTGGCTGCCTTCTGGCAATCCATTAGAGCACAACCTCAGTGAACTGGGATTTAATTCAATTAACTGGGCAAAAAAAGTGTTTTCTGTTACATTCCACTTGGGGAAAGTAAACTGGCAAGAAAGCAAGCCAATATTCAGGCTTTATTAAAACAACCTTTGAGATAGTGCTTCCCAAAGTCTGTTGCAAATTGGAATTACCTGAGAAACTTTAAAAAATACTGATATGGCCGGGTAATCCTTTGGGAGGCCAAGGCGAGTGGATTGCCTGAGCCCGTGGGTTTGAGACCAGCCCGGGCAACTTGGCCAGACCGCGTCTCTACAATAAATAGAAAATTAGTTGGGTGTAGTAGTGCGCCTGTAGTTCCGGGCAACTTGG